AATGCAAATATTTCATAATCTGAACAAATCAGACATCTGAAACACTACTGGTCCCAAGCATTTCAGATAAGGGCTCCCCAACCTGTACACACACATATGCACACATACCCATACACGCAAACACATGCTCTATGGATTTAGTTTTTCTGGAGAACACTGACTAATATAGTTTGTTTACCTTTTCGTTGTTAAGTTGCAGGTGTTCTTTACATGTTCAGGATACTAAGTCCTTACTAAATATAGGATTTACAAATGTACTGGCACCTTTGATAAGACAAATGACCAGAGAAGCAATACGCGTGGAGTGGAGGGGGTGTGGAGGAAGTACAGAGCAGGAGCCTCTAGAAGGGAAGCCACATGGGAGCAGAACAGCCTTGGCTGGTTTCTTTCTTTCTTTCTTTCTTTTTTTTTTTATTAAATCATAGCTGTGTACATTAATGCAGTTATGGGGTCCAATGTGCTAATTTTATATACAATTTGAAATACTTTCATCAAACTGGTTAAGATAGCCTTCACTGCATTTTCTAAGTTATTGTGTTAAGACATTTACATTCTACGCTTAGTTAGATTTAACACGTACCCTTGTAAAATGCACCATAGGTGTGGTCCCGCCAATTACCCTCCCTCCACCCATCTTTCCCCCCTCCTCTTTCCCCTTCATCTTAGGGTGAACTGGACAGCTGGTTTCTTTATTGTGGAGCCCTATTGGGGCTGGCACTTAGCAGTGCTCAATAAAGAGTCATCAGAAGTAAAAATGAACAACTAAATGTGAGCATTGGGGTGGGATCAGTGAAGGCTCAGAGGCAGCTTCATTTAGGCTGAAGCCTAAGGCCTCTGTAGCAATGAGCTGGGCAGGAAAGGAACAGTGGTCCAGCCTGTGGGAGGGCCCAGGGCAGAGGGAGGGAGTGGCAGTTTGAGGAATGAAACATTCTATCTAGCTGAAGCAGAGAATACAGGGAACGGATGTAGGGTTGTGGGCTAAGTGGGAGCGGGGAGAGGAGAGAGCACAGCAGAGTAATAAGAAAGGAGAAAGGTGATGTCAGAAAGGATGAGACACAGGGCCTTGTAGGCTGTTGAGTTTGGGGTCATCTGAGGAAGAGGGAGGAAGAACAGAGCAGGGCAGGGAAATTAATGGGTGGCAGCCATCGAAGACCTGGAGATGCTTTCAGGCACCGTGGGGAGGCTGCAGGGGGGAAGTAGAAGGAGATGAGCGTGGTGACAGCTCTGACTGCAGGCTCCTTGGTGTTTAAATTCTGGCTCTGGGGCCTGGCGTACACCTGTAATCCTAGCACTCTGGGGGGCTGAAGAGGGTGGATCGCCTGAGCTCAAGAGTTTGAGACCAGCCTAAGCAAGAGTGAGACCCTGTATCTTCTAAAAATAGAAAAACTAGCCTGGTGTTGTGACAGGCGCCTGTATACCCAGCTACTTGGGAGACTTATGCGAGAGGATCACTTGAGCTGAAGAGTATGAGGTTGCTATGAGCTATGACACCACAACACTCCAGAAAAAAAAAAAAAAATTCTGGCTCTGCACCTGCCAGGCAGAGTGTGGCTAAGCAAGTAGCTTCCAAGGTCTCAGCAAAGCTCCTTTAGCTGTGTCTCCTCATCTGTATAACAGGGATAGTGAGGATCCTCCCAGCTTGGGTGACACAATGTGAACAGCCTGTCCTGAGCCCTCCTAGAGTCCCAAATAAAGGACACAGAAAGGACATTTCTTCTTCTAGTGCATCCATGTAGTGACAGCTCCAAGAAATTATAGGGAGAGTGGAAATGGAGGGAGGGCAGGTGAGGCACCGCTTGAGGCCCAGGCCGGCTGCCCAGGCCCTCCTCTGGCTGGACCGATGCAGCAAAGAGGGCAGAGAGCACCAGGCTTCCATCCCAAGTGCTGAACTGCTGCTTGTAAACAGCCTTCTGATCCCTAAATAAACCTGAACATCAGCTTCACGGGTTCGAATCTTCCTAGACTGATTGTCTCTCGAGTGGCAGCAGGGCTGTTGGAGGTGAGGACTCTGACCGGGCAAGCAGAGCTGGAAAGAGACTGAACCCTCTGGGAAGTGTTCCAGCGGCTTCCATGGTGCTTCAGTGAGGTCATCCTTCTAAAGAGCTTAGCCTTGTTGGACACAAGGCTCCGAAGGTACTCCGAAATTATTTGTCAAATGATTGAATAAATGTTTGCGATTTTCACTTTTATTAGCTGCGTGGTTTTGGCAAGTTACCTAACCTCTCTGAACCTTAGTTTTGTTCATGTGTAAAGTAGAGAGACTATCTCTTCCTTGGATGATTATGGACTAAGAAACGGTATCAGTCTGTTCGGGCTGCTATAACAAAATACCTTAGATTTGGTGATTTATAAACAACTGTTCACAGTTCTGGAGGCTGGGAAGCCCACGATCAAAGCACCAACATATTTGGTGTCTGATAGGGCTCTTTGCTTCATAGATAATGCCCTGTTGCCTTGACCTCAACAAGGCAGAAGGGCAGAGGGCTAGGAGCCTCCTCCAGGCCTCTTGCACAAGGGCACTGAGCCCAACCATGAGGACTCTACTCCAATGACCTAATTACTTCCTAAAGGCCCCACCTTCTGTGCTGATTTCTTGGTGATTAGAATTTTAGAGGCACACAAACTGTCAGATCATGGCAAATGGAATATGCAACGTGACTGGTACAAAGGAGGGACAGGAAGATTTGGAAACCAGCTCTGTTCAGCCCCAAAGCTGCAGCCTGCCATAGTCATGTTCTCCAAGGCCATGGCTGATAGAAGGATCCCAGCCCTGACTTTCCTACCCAGCCTTCCCCACCACTGATCCTTCTCCTAGGTCTGAGACACTCCAGCCAGGGTGCCACACTCCACATGGTTTGGATGTTGCCATTCTTGCCAAAACCAGTCAGGGATGGTTTTGTGTCCCCTCCTCCTAGGCCGAGCTCCTTCTCCTTGCTGCTTGCCTGTCTCGGGCAGAAGGGCACAGGGGTAAGGAGCAAGCCTCCTCTGAGCACAGCATGAAGAAAACGATGGGAAAACCCAGAGGGGGTGGCGGCCCAGCTGTCAGGGCTGGAGACTGGGGACATTGGAACCCAGTGACACCGGCCATAGAAGGGTATGCTGGGCGGGGAGGGTTCCCCTGCTTCCCACCAGGCCCACACACCTCACTGGCTTGGCAGGTCCCTCTGCATGAGGCTCAGCAGGGCCCTGGGGCCAAGCCCTGTTCTGCTCTGTACTTGTGTGTGGCCTTGAGTGAGTCACCAGCCACGCTGGGCCTCTATGGCCACATCTGCATTACAATGGGTGAGGCCTGGCACCTTTTTGGCCCCGCAGACGTGCCCCACTCTCTGCATTCATCCCGTGGTTTCCTGAGGGGTCGGCAAGAATCAGATGGTCACACATTTTTATGTTCTCATTTCACTTGCAGGACTAGTCCAGGGCCGCTAAGCCCAGATTGGTGGGGGGGGGGGCACCATCCAGGGTGGTTTTCCTGAGCATGAACAGGACAAAGACCCAGAAAAGGGAGCTGGGGAGGACAGAATGGTCCCTTCTGAGGGAATAGCCCGCACGGGCTGAGGGAGAAGGGCTGAGGCTCAGCTGGGTCAAGCTGCAGGAGGGAGGCAGTGTTTGGGTTTGGGATTTGATTCTCTAGATGGGGCCATCCTGGACAGTTTTAAGCAGGAGAACAATGTGATCTGATCTACATTTTGGAAAGTCCTTGGCCAGAGAGTGGAGAGGCCTGGAGTCAGGCCAGGAGCTCACTGCCGTGGTCCAGGGATGCAGGGTGGCTTTTATCAGTGTCTCTTTGAGATGCGAGAAGCCAGGCCACCTCCACATGGTCAAGGTTCTGGGATGCATGTATAAAAACACCAAACCTGAGTTACTAACAGATGCTGGAGTATAGGCTTGTTTTAAGAGATGTGCAGTGTCTGAACTGGAATCTCTTTGCTGAGTTTTGCTCCCACCCTGACCTGTGATGGGGCTGGATTCTGGTGGCAGCCGAGAAGGCAAGAGAAACAGACCCAGTTGAAAAGAACATAGGTGGTGGGAGGAGGTGGCCCTGGCTCCCCGATTCATGCTGTGTGACTTGGGCAAACAGCGCAATTCGCTGTGCCTGCTTTCTTCACCTTTACCGAGGAGATCGGAACAGCACAATCTCAGAGGGTGGTTGTGCAGAGGGGCTCAGCACAGAGTTAGCGCTTCTTAAACCTTAGCTACTGGTATTAATGGACTCAATTTGGGGCCCTTTAATGGAGTGATCAGGAAAGAGCAGCTCTTCCTTTGCTAGTATTGCTGAATGTGCACCTCGGACAGCTGGAAGGATCTTGCCATCATGAGGGGGGGAGCCTGCCTGATAGCAAACCCAGCACCAAGGAGAGCAGGGCTCAGCAGCAGGGCTGAGCAGCAGGGCAAGAGGGATTCAGTCCTGATGATACCATTTGAGCCTCTGGATCTAGCTGTTCCTGAAGATCTACCCCTGTCTATTCAGGCACATAAGCCAATCAAGTCCTTTATTTTCTTTCTTTTTTGCTTAAGTGATTTTGGGTTGGGTTTCTGTCATTTGTAACAGAAAGAGTCTTAATGACCCACCCACCCATTCATCCATCCATTCACCCACCCATCCTCCTGTCCGCCCATCCATCCATTCCCCCGTCTACCCATCCATCTATCCACCCACCTGTCTATCCATCCATCTATCTACCGGCTCTCAGGCCTGCATTTGAAGCCCAACCAAGTCTAGCTGGATGGGCTTAGACACATCGCTCCTCTTGCTGGGATTTCATTTCTGCATCTGTAGACAGGAGACTCATCACCTCCGTTATGGGGTGGTAACAAGAACAACATGGGTAATCCATGTAGAGTATCAGGCTCCAGACCAAGTTTAGAGGAGGGGCTCAGTAAATTCACCGCCATCACATCATTTCTGTCCGTCAGGATGTGTCCTCCTCCCACCTCCCCAGATGGGTTTGGAAAGGCAACGCCCCACTGATCCTGGGTCCTCCTGAGCACGCAGAGTCCGATGGTACAGCCTTTATTGTTTTACCAGCATTTTCCAGAAGAGCAGTGGTGTCATTTCAGGGCCGCAGGGGACGGGGGGAGTAAAAAATAACATAAACAAACTGAATAGAAACAGAGGAGGGCGGGGAGAGGGGCTGAGATCGGGTGGTTGGGGCAGAGAGGTGGAAGACCTGGGGCACTCAGCGCCTCTTAGCTTTCAGCCACCAGACAGGAGAATTCTGCAAGAGAAAATGACGAAGGGAAGTAAGTAAGAGGCAGAGATGAAAGAGAGACTGTCCAAGGCCGGGCTGCTGGGCCCAGCCCCGCACTTTCTCTTGGTTTTGTATGTGTTGCCGGAGAACTGGGGAGCCAGTGTGGGAATAAACTGGTGAATAAATAGGTGAATGAATGAAGTGAGATGGGAATGGTAAGTCTACTACACATGTCGTGATTTACGGTGTCATGCCACACCCCAAATTATTACTAATAAATACAACAATAGCAGTAATAGGCATGACACTATGGCTGACACCTGTTATCCACTCTGGGAGGCCAAGGAAGGTGGACACCCTGAGCTCAGGAGATGGAGACTAGCTTGAGCAAGAGTAAGCCCCCATCTCTACTAAAAAAAATAAATAAATAAAAAACAACAAAACATAGAAAAAATAGCTGGGCATTGTGGCAGATGTCTGTAGACCCAGATACTTAGAAGGCTGAGGCAGGAGGATCGCTTGAGCCTGAGAGTTTGAGGTTGCTGTGAACTATAGCATGGCACTCTACCCCAAGTGACAGAGGGAGACTCTGTCTCAAAAAAGAAAAAAAAAGGAAATAAATAAATTTCTGTTTATCATATGTCAGGCACTATTGTAAACACCTTATGTATAGTATCTTACTTGAACTTGATAATAATCCCCCATGGTACATTTTATCATTATTTCTTTGCTACAGATGAGTAAACGGAGTAAACTATGCCTCAGAGTCCAGCAATGTCTCTGGACTTCTCTGTTTTTCTCCACAGGGGTGGAGAAAGGACAGGAGTTGCCACTACATGTCTTTGAGATGCCATGTCCCAGGCCTGCCAGGGAGCACAGGGTGAAGGGTGCACAGGCTCTTTGTACTATCATTGTGATTCTTCATAGTCTACAAAATTACTTCAAAATAAAAAAACAGAAAACAACTAAACCAACATGTTATACTACGGAAATGACCTGGCCTGGACCCCAGCCAGGTGAAGGGACTGGGAAACAGACACCACCCTCTCCTACCTGCAGGCTGTCTCAGGATGGAAGGGTGGGAGACCTGGATGTAGGGACTGGGTAGGGACTCAAGGTGGGACAGAGCGAAGGTCCACCAGGTCATCTAGAACCCCAAGCTTAGCCAGGTGCAGTGGCTCATGCCTGTAATCCTAGCACTCTGGGAAGCTGAGGCTGGAGGCTCCCTTAAGCTTAGGAGTTCAAGACCAGCCTGAGTAGGAGCAAGACCTCATCTCTACTAAAATAGGAAAATTAGCTGGGCCTCACAGCTGTAGTCCCAGCTACTTAGGAGGCTGAGGCAGAATGATCACTTGAGCCCAGGAGTTTGAGGTTGCTATGAGATAGGATGCCACAGCCCTCTACCCAGAGCAATAGAGTGAGATTCTGTCTCAAAAAACAAAAACAAACACAAACAAAAAATGCTCTTGGCTAAGTGGTAACAGCAAGTGACAGAGACAGAATCCCACATGAACGTGGAATCACCAAACACTCTTAAGAACCACCCCTACCGCTGCTCCACCAGGCAGTGAAGCACTTTCTCAGCCATGAGCCCCAGGACCTTGGTGGGGCAGGTGGTTCTTTTGAGATTTTTTTTATTGTCAGTACTTTTATAATTTGTAGCCAGTAACTGGCACTTATTGACGCCTATGTGGGAGGCACTGTGCTTGTATTATTTCACCAGCCTGTCACATATACCTTTGTCTGCATTTCACAGATGGGGAAACTGGGGCTCAAAAGTTAAGTAGCTTAACCAGTGTCACACAGCGGACGTGATTCCAGCCACATCCATTCTCAGGCTTCCTTCTCCATCCCAGAGGTTGGAGAGGCACAGAGTGACACAGGTTCCAACGCAAATATCGCCACCCTCATGACTGTCACATTAGCCCTTTTTTCTTTACTTCACTTGTCACTCTCAGAAATGATCTTATTTATGCACTTATTTTTGTCAGTGTTGCCCTCTTGGGGACATAAACTCCAGAGGACAGGGAAGCCCTTCTCATGTGCACCATTCTCCTGGCACCTAGAACAGTCCTGGTGCCCAGCAGGTGCTAATAAATGAATGCCAAATGAATGAATGAGTGGGATGGCTCATAAGTCCTTAGGGCTCAACGAATTCTGACTTACATCATGTAATTCTCACAGTGCCCTGGGACACAAGCAGGATAGTTCCGATTTTATAGATGGGGAAATGGAGGATAGAGAGGTGAGGTGTCAGTGTCAATGTGGGAAACAAGAGGCAGAGCCAGGACTTGGCCTCTGGCCCCAGGGACCCCCCTGATGTGGAGGTGAGAGGCCACACCTTACAGGGCTAGAGTTCCAGCTCCAGGAAAAGTACTTCCTCTCTCCAGTGCCACCTGCTATTTCATTCGGAAAAGAGGCCAGAGCCGTCATTCCTTGTCCTTGGGATACAGCTTCACTGTCCTGGGATACAGAGGCATCAGCCTGTCCTTCAATGCCTGCTCACAGAGGGGCTGCCCACCTGCGTTGACCTTGCCCTTGGTCTGGACCTACTTCCAGGCGCTTATCAGCAAGGAGCCTACTGCCACGTTGGCACCTTCACACGAGAGGGGATCTGGGCAGTTCATGTAAGGGGGGCCAAGAACACTGATTGGGGACTCTCCAGGAGTGGAGGGTCGGCATTTTGGAGCCAATGCCTCCTAACTCAGGCCCTCTGCCCACCCTGCAATCTGCTCTGATGAGGCCAGGACATCACCACTGCCACACGCCCCCTGGCTTTTTGCAGAGAACACAGGATTCTAATTTTATCCTCAGAACCTTGAACAGGGTACTTTGTAGATAAATTGAGGGCAGGGGCCTCCTCTTCTGAGCCTTTCGTATGTGCCTCAGGGCAGAGCTCTTAGGAGCCAGGCAATTAACCACCATCCTATCAACACGCCTGCTCCAAAATGGCCTCTCCTTAGAGAAAAACAAATGATCAAACAAGCAGAGACCCTACAAAGTCTAGGTCCCCTGATTTGGTAGTTGGTAGAGTCCTGGGACAAGAAATGGGCACTGAAGGGTGGGGTTCTAGGCTCAGTTCTGTCATCCACTTGTGTCCTTGGAGATGGACACCCTCCCTGGTCCTGGTTTTCCCATGAGTGAAGCGTCGGGTCTGGAAGCTGCCCTTCATCGGTCACGCGGTATTTGAAGCAAACAAGTGGGGGATGAACTCTCAGGTCCCATTTCTTGCTCCTGTGATCTTTGACTAGATGCTTCATCTCACTGTCCCTCAGTTTCCTCATCTGTAAAATGGAGCTTATGGTGGCACTACTTCCTAGGGCTGTTTGGAGGAGCCAGCACACAGTAAGTGCTTGGCATCTGGTAGCTGTTGTAATCAAGCCACTTAGAAGCCAAGCCTGTGAAACACCTGGCTACTGCCTGTCCCAGGGGTGAGGGGGACTCTGTAAATGAGAGCATAGCCTTTGTGTGTTAGTGTCATTGTCCTGGTTGCTACTGTTTGTCCCCATTATCCACATCACCATTTCCTGCCCCCCCCCCGCCCCCGGCACCTGACTACAACCATCCAGCAACCCTGGAGCTGGGTCTGAATCTTGTTTTATCACTACCTGGCTAGGTGGCCACAGGTCACTACTTTAGCTCTCGGAGCCTCAGTTTTCTCATCTGTAAAGTGGGTATTATAATAAAGCCTACTTGCATAGCTATTGGAAATATCAGAGGAGAAAACGCAGGAAGACACTCAGCACACAGTTGGTGGTTTCTAAGGGCTAATCTCACCTCCTTTGGATCTCCCTGACACAGGCTGGAGCTTTGCAAAAACAACAATAATCACAAAAATTCTGAACTAACAAAGACAAGGAAAATAGAAAGAGATGGGAAGTTTAAATAGCAGTCACCTGACCTGGCACAAACTTCTATCTCATGCAGTTAGAACCCTGTCTGGTGACCATCCACCATGGAAAGGCAGTCTTAGACCCTCAGTTTCTTCATCTTTAAAATGGGGATACTGAGACCAGCTCCTCATAGGGTTATGGTAAGGCATATACCAGCTAAAGAAGAAGAGTGCCATGTATCGTGCCTGGTACACAGTGGGGAAAAAATTCAATGAACTCTGAATGTTAAGGTATGAGGCAGAATGTTCCTTTGGAGGGACCCAAACATTCTGCCCTCTGTACGATATGCAAGCACAACATTATTTGCAGTCTGAAACCTCACTCAAGGCCCACTGGGGCCAGCTTGTTAATGTCTTCATTGTCCAATAAGAAGGAGAAGGAGAAAGTAGGGATGGGGGTGTGAGGGAGGCTCAGAGGACCAGAGAGTTCTGTTCTTGTCTTTCTCTTAGGAAACTGAAATTAGCCTAATTAGGTCTGCGCCAGTCTGGGTGCTATGGGGATTGGACAAATTTAGAAGCTATTGACAGGTGAGACCAACATACACTGATAGCCCAGAGCGAAACTGAGATGGTCATTGAGTCAGCGGCTGGACGCCTGTTTCCTTCCCTCTGTCGTGATGATCAGAATGAAGGAAACAGCCTCCTGGTTTATCACCTCACCTCTAAATAGCTCCTGGGCTCAGTTTCTTATAAATCAGTATTGCAAACAGGGATCACCTTCCCATCCCTGAGAACTGGCAGGCAGGGTCATTCGGGATCAAGCTAGACAGTGCAAGGAGGCAGAGTAGATAGTTCTGGGCACTCGCTGCGTGCCAAGCACTGCATCCCACTGGCTTTCTTATCATCATTTTTTAAGGGAAACTGAGGCTGAGAATCACTCATCTCAGAAGATTCTAACTTAGGTGTGGCTTGGCCAGCTGCATCTCCTTGGTTCTGACTCCAGCGGCTGGAGAGGGATAGATGGAGGGTAAAGTCTCCGTGGCTCTCGCTTACAGGAGGCCAGTTACATAAGGAGGGTTGTTTCCTCTCCCCTTGCTCAATCTTATCTAGCGCAGCATAAGGCAAAGTCCACACGGGAATAAAAAGGAGCAGATTGCTAAGCACAGAAGCCATTTATAACTCCAGCGTCTCAGCT